GTAGGGAAATAAGTGGCTTTTTATGCAGTTAACTTAATCCAGGCTTCATTTGGAGTGAGAAAACTCTTTGGGTAGGCGCATGCGAAAGAAGTTGCTTTTTGTTAGGAAGCTGAAACAGTAAGCTACTTAACTTGCTTCCTTTTTTCCTGTGTTTTCTTGTATTTGTAAGGATCTCTTTTTGGTGCCTTTGTGCTTCTGAAACGTTGAGAGTTTGTAATGTAATACCCTGAAGTTTGGGCATATAGAAATTATAAGCTGACCTTTAAAACCTATCTAAAATATAGTAGAAGATGGTTTCAGTTGTTCTTCTGTTCTTAATGATGTCAGAGGAAGAAAATCATGAAATGGAAGCAACTGAAACCAGTAGCCTATTAGAGATCCTTCTTACAATGTTTTCAGGGTACTGAAAGTGCTCTTTGTCAGGAGAGAGAGTTCATTTCTACTTTACTTAACTGCAGCTTGCCAAGGCCTGCCTGACTGTCCAGAACAGAGAGAACGTTTGTTTTAATGATGTCAGAGGAAGAGAATTAAAAAATAGAAACCTTAGTGAACAAGAAGTATTTGGTAACTGGTTTAAAATGGTATCTACTGTTATTGTGGAGACTACGATGCTAGGGATGAGTTCTTTTAAGTCTCAGTGCCGTTAAATGGCTGATGCAATAGCTTTTGTGGATGTTTTCGTGATGGAAGTCCGAGGTGCAGGCGTCCCATCCCAGCGTCATTTGTGTTCAGTTGAATTGTTCCGTGTGCCTCTACAGTTTCCACCCGTTCCCTTATACTCAGGTTAACAAAACGTTTCTAGTTTGTGGGGGCAGGGTTTCATTTAATTTTCAGAGTTTTTATTAAGCTGTGATACTAAGATACGGCTGTGCCTCTCTCTAAGGTCGAAGAAGAAATCGGTACTCTCAGACAAGTTCTGGCCGCTAAAGAGAGGCACTGCGGAGAGCTGAAGAGGAAGCTAGGTTTGACTCCCTTGGATGGCTTAAAGCAAAACCTGTCTAAAAGCTGGCATGATGTCCAAGTCTCCAATGCGTAAGTGTTGCCTGTGACACAAGCTTCACACTTAAATATAATTCTGTGGAAATTATTTCCCAGCGTTGTATTCCAGGACTTTTCCAAATGGCTGGAGGCTTTTGCTCTGATGAGTAAAAGGAGGAAAAAGTAAATCTAGTGATTTTGTTGGTTTCACACGTTGGTGTCCTGATATCGAGTGTAAACAGAACTTTCATGTCTGTGATCCTGATAAACTGTTGATGAATGCTCTTTCCTAGCAGGTTAGAGATCTAGATCACCCCTGAGCAGAACAGTTCGGTTTGCCCATTTCTGACCATTTCTTTGGGGTATGGGCTGCTACTACTCCCTTCTGAGCTCAGGCTTAGAGAGAACCAAAAAATGCTGAAGTTCTTCTACATAATGTTAGTTTGGAGGCTACCTATTTCCTAGGATGCATAGCTTGAATTGAAAAGTCGGCACTTCCTAAGGCAAAATTATACAGTGTTAGTCTGCTAGGAATGCAGTACGCAGAAGCATCTCGGCTTGAAGGAGATTTGAAATTAGACTGACCCGGTTACTGAACGGGTACTAAGAGTGTCATAGCTATGCTGTTTGGCAGTGCCACAAGGGCACAAATACAGTGTTAACCTTACCTCCTTGACCTCCCAAGTGTGAGGGGCTCTCAATATCCACAGGGAATTTGTTTGCTCTAAACAGTTTTGTGCTGCTTAACTGGAACGTGGAGTTACTGACAGTGCTACTGCAGGGCACTTTTTTGAGCTGTTCATCTCATTGTCTGTTCTTTTTCTTTTCCTCATCTCCCCTCCTCCCCCTTGCCCAGCTCTGTTATTCCTTTGTAACTTAAATTTGTCATTGTCTTCTAAAAATGAATATTAAAGAAGTTATATTCATTAATACTTTCTGTTTCTAGTTATGTGAAAACATCTGAGAAACTTGGAGAGTGGAATGAGAAAGTGACACAGTCTGACTTGTGAGTGCCTCGGGCTCCTCAGCAACACCTTCTTGCTCCTTGCTCCATTCCCCAGTTTGTGCTGCTCCTTGTTCTTTCAGGCGTCAGGGGCTGATTGGGAGCTGGAGGCATGGTGAAGCTATAGTCAGGACTGTTATGAGCAGCATGCCTGACTTCCCTCAGCATCCCTCAGTGGCAGAAGAGATGAGTAAAAGCTACTGCTCTCGTGTCTCTGGTAGTCTTCCCGTTGCAGAAGAAAAATTCCAATCAGTTACCAGACCACACTTTAATATATTAAAAAAAAAAAAACAGCTTCAATTTCCTTTTAGCTGGTCTTTGTTAGGCTAGTCTGTTATAATTGGATGTCTTAGTACTCTGTCTTTTTACTGTGAAACTATTTCTTTTCTCCTCACCAGATGTGGTAGCAATCAGTTTGGTTATTGGCTTCCTGTGTGGCCATGGGGGAGAGAGAAGGTATCTGAAGGCGTTCAGCTGTAGCTGAAAACATGGGCTATGCAAATATGTATATTAGCTTTTGAAAGTTTCCACACTGCGGCTCTGTTGGATTGATGCAGGTGACCATTTCTGACACGTTCACACTGGAAAGCTATGGACTGTAGTCTTTGTAATATATACAAGCAGGTGATAAACGTGGATAGAGAGTGTCTGGCTCCTTTTGTCTCTGCAATATATTCTTTAGTTGTATTAGCCCTCAGTTTCTATTACACATGCATCATTTTGATTCTTGTTGTATAGTGAAGTGTCGGGGAGATCTTGAATGTTTTCTGAACTGAGGATTCTTTCCCTTCAGCATCTTGTGTTCAAAGAAATGCTAATTTAGCTAAGAGCAGATGTGTGTTGGAAGCTGCTCTTCAGTAGGCAAAATAGTTAGCTCTGATCTAATGAGGGATAATTAACACTTCCTGGGTGACATGAACTGCCTGACGTATCACCTCCTTCTGTGTCACCTGAGCTGGTTCCAAACACTTCTTGTAGTAAATGCATTCAATCTGTTTTTCCAAGTGTTAATTCTTACAACCCATAGGATATTGATTATATGTGTATATATGTGCGCACACATGCTCTAAAGATTAGAAGATGAGACTCAGTTTTACAGTTTGTCCAGGTCATGCTGGGTTGGTGCAGCTTTGGGTGTGGCAGTCAGATTTTTAGTTTTGTGCTCAGCTCACTGCTCTGTGCTTTTAGTGTGTAGCCATTGTGCAGTGTGTAGGGAGGGGGTGGGAGATATGAAGTCTTTTGTTTGAAAAAATCTTGGCACCTTCCAAACTGCAGGTCTAGTTTGCTTTGTGCGCGGTGTTTGAATTTGTTTAAATAGGGAAGAAACCAAGGCTTGGATGTCTTCCTCTCAAACAACAACTCTTTTCCTCTCACTTGGATGGGGGAAAACTAGTTGTCAAAGAAATAAAACATATGATACCTTAAGTGTAAAGAGACACTAATAATGTGGAAAGCGTCAAAAGAAGCATCTGTCATGAATCTTGGCACTGTATCTAACCTCCATTGTGTTTGTAGATATCTTTCAGCCAGCAACACACTGGAGGACTGGAATGAAAAATTAACTCAATCAGAAGCGTGAGTGTCTTAACCTTCAGCATTAACAAATGCTTTCGTGACAGCCTGCTGCCTCTAACGTTTGCTGACCCTGCTCACAGTTCTCTGCTTTGTCTAGTCCTATCTGAACTTTTCTCAAGCCTTCACTTTTTTAAAACTGATCAGTGTATCCTCTGTGAGAAGTAGCCTTTCCTCAGGTCAGTAATTGAAAGACTTCACTGTGGCCCAAGCGACATTCTTGTCAAATGACTGCCTGTTCTTACAGGGGAACTGGCAGGAGCCACTGAGTACCTGAGACTTGTGTGCCATGTTTTGTAACTTCAGCTGACAAGCTGTAGAATAAATAGACTGATCTCCTCTTGTAACCGTGCAACATGTAACCCTATTGCTCTGTGGGGAGTGGGAACTCTTTTTTTCCCTCATTTAGTACCTGATGAGAACAAATAGAACTTTAGTGTCCGAGGCAGCTGTTCTGTCACTCTTGAGCCCCAAATGGACTTGAACAGCTTAAACCTCACAGCTGTGTTATACCCATTTTTGGGTGTGAATGGTCTCTTAGTCATGTTTTTACTAAATGTCTGGAATTAAATTCTCATCTGGACTAAATATTGAAAGCATATTATGGAAGTTGGCCTTTGTCCTTCACGCTGCATCTCTTCTACAGTGTATAGGGGAATCCTTGACAGTAATGCAGAGGGAGCAAGTAGGTAGTGTCTTTTGTTCCCTGAATTGATTTAGACCATGGTATGTGTAGGGCTTAGGTAAGCCAGATTTTCCTTTTTTTTTTCTTGTAGTGGATGTGAAATTCAGTCTTCTAACCTGAGCATATGAGATGCAGCCTAGAGCTGGCTTGCCATTGGCAGTGTGTGTCAAGGGAAGGTATCCCTCGTGAGAGGGATGAAAGATGAGCACACATGGAAAGCAGAACCTGCACATTTGGAAGTTCTTCTGATACTCCTGCTAAGTTCGTTGTATGTTTTCTGGATTAAAAATGTTAATTTTTTCTGCTTGCTAAATAGTGAATGACCTTTATCCTTGTTGCCTGCATACATGATTCTGGCAGTGTTTAATCATAGTTCCTCCTTGGGTGTGCCTGCTAGAATAGAAAACTTCTACCATATTTTTCTTACATTTATCATTAAAGTACAAGGAAACATATAACAACAAGCGTGGTTCTGTAGAGTGCTAAGGGCCTGAATAGCCGTGGCACGCTAGCTTTCCTGCTTGCATTGGCACTAGACAGAGCGACGGTTCGTGCCAGCAAAGTAGATGCCAATTAAAATGGAGAGGCAAGGGTGCTTCAAAGGTAAGATTCTAGCAACGTTTCAGAAAACAAACAACTTCTACTTCCTTCATCTAAAGCTCGGTAAATACTAGGAGTCGAGTTCAAGGAATCAAAGCATGAGGTTTTACTTGTGTTTTGGGATTGTTTTGTAAAGGCATCCTCTTTCCTGTTGTTTCAGAGCTTTTCTGAATTATTACTGGCAAGTGTCCTGATTGAACTGGAAATGGGTCTAACCCGTGACCTTATGATGCTTTTGTACACTGCTGAATTTCCTGGTAGTTGCCGTTCCTGGCTGCAGGGCTTGAATTGTCCTCTGCAAGCAGTATGCAGAGAGGACAGAAATCAGCCCAGTCTGCTTCTAGCTCCAGTTTCATTGCAACCAGGATGCACAATGACTTAGATGGCTTGTGAGCATAGTCAGACAGCACAAATAGTGATTGCTGGATAAAAGCAAGTGAGAGGAAGCTGATATTAATGGATAAAGAAGGATGTGAGGGTGCAGCTCTGTCCCTTCCCTGGAGGGGTTGGCAGGAGAGGGATGCAGTGAAATGTTTGAATACCACAGTATTCTGAAGTGGGCAGAGATCTCTTCTACAGCTTCTCCTTTGAGCAAATTGCCTGCTAGAACAGCAAAGTACTAATCATAGCTCATACTTGTTACTCCCAGATCTAGATCATTCCAATGTGCTTTGTACTAGCATTAAGGGAAGAAAGTGAGTGTGAATGTGTAGTAGTGGTAAACCTGGCAGTGTCAGTTGCAGAAGAACAGTTGTGACTCTCTTTTTTTTGGGGGGGGGGGGGGGGGGGGGTGCTCAGAGCTGGCTGAAGTTAAGTTGCATTGAAGTCCAGTATACCTTTACCCTGGCAGTCCCAGATATACTTCCATATGCATGCCTGTGATGGCATTTTTGGGTGAAACAACTTCTCACCTCTGCATTTCCTTGGCTCTGCCTCCTGCATTGCGCTGGTGGGGTGTGCATGTGTGTTTGCGGGAGCTGTGGCTGCAGAACCAGATTGGAGATCTAATCTGGCAGCTGCTACTCCCCCCTCCCCCCAAGCTTATTTCATCTGGATCATTTCCCTTAGCTAAATCACTGTCAGCACAAACAACTGTGTTGGCATCATGAAGGAGCACACTCAGGCAGAAGGAACAGCACTTGAGTGCTAGGTCGTCTTCAATTGGCTTAGGAACAGGGCTGTCAAGTGTGAAACAACCGTTTGGAAATTTCTCTCGCTTCTATCTGCTGCAGCTAGACCTAATAACTAAGAGTTTGCAGTGTGTACGTGGTGTGATGGTGTCATTTGATTCTGTAAACTGTTCCTCTCATCTCTGCTTTGGTATTTGATGCTGATCAGGGAGAGTTCAGGGCCAAGCTGTTTTTCCTTGGCTTGTGTAAAAGTGAAGTCAGCACAATGTATTTCAGTGAGCATGAGATCTTAGGTGTTCCTGCTAAACGGTTGCAAGTCAAATCCCATGATGGGGGTCTGTCAGCCTGTGCAGGGTAGAAGCCTGACTGCTGAATGGAAGGGATTAAAGCTCCAAAGAAGTCCTGACCTTGGGGTTCAAGTATGCTTACCGCAGTAGGAAAGCGATCGTGCTAACTACCTCACTCCTAAATTGAATTGAGATGACTGCTTCTTACAAAGCATCATGCTATGAAGAAACAATGTTGAGTTCCTGCTACCTGGGCATAGTCTGCTAGGTTCTTCTGGGGTCACTGAATTAGGGGAATTAGTCTGGAAAATGTCTAGGTTGTAGGAATGAATGGACTTCTTTCAGAAGCAGGAGATGTGGAAGTAAAGCTTATGCGCTTTTTCCCTATTCGGCACAAGTCTCGTACACGTTCTCGATTCAGAAATACTTGATCAGAGTCTTGGGGGGGAAAAATGACACAGACACACACACAAAAACACAAAAAACCCAAGAGCAATGTGTTGAAAGTAGTCTTGCCTGAATCCAATTCAGGTGCTATCTCCTGCACTCCTGCCTGGAGACGATGAGACAGAGATTTGAGTCAGTTGTAGACGTGTTGCTTCTGGCCTCAGGAGTTCAGAGATGTGAATGTTAGGTCATTTTTAGATGTCCTTCTCTTAAATATTCTAATGCAATTGGATAAGGAAAAAAAAACCTCAAGCTTAAATACTTGGAATAAGAAAATTTGGCTTAAGTTGTTGGACTCATTTTCCTGCCTGAATCTTTTCATATAATTTGAAGAATGCCATGAATCTAGATGTTGAACACAAACTGTAGACTAGCTTAGAAGATGAGTTGATGAAAAAGGCTCAAAGAATCTTTGTTCCTAAGATTGTCTTATTTGAAGGAAACAAAGGTTCTTAAGTGTCTTATCTTCTCCAGCTCTTGTATAAACATCTCAAATGTAATCAGCTGGCAAGCACAGTCAGACTTACTACTTATTGTGGTTAATGGTAACTGATGGGAAACTTCCCTACCAATTTAATTCTAAACAGCAGTTGTGGAGGTAATACTCATTTCTGCGTTTCTTTTCTAGACAGTAATGTCAGTCTTACCTCTTTCCTCCATTCCCTAACATTGTAACAAATGCTCTAACTTCTTTAGGTTCTTTGATCTCCTTGGCAAAATAAGTCAAAATGCGATTGTGGAGCAAATGGGGGTATGACGCTATGATGTGCAGTTTCTACATGGAAAAGTATGGGTGGCTTTTTGTTGTTGTTTTTTGCAAATGTTTGAGTTGTTAAAAATGTAAAGTCAAGATGGTAAAATATCTGAAGTGAGCATATGGAAAGGTTAGGCCTACACTTGCTGCCTTCTTAAAACTTAGTCTTTGCATTTGTGCAAAACTAGAATGGGCTTTTTCAGTTAAGTCAGTGCAGCTCACTAACCTAGTCTCTTTCCTTTAATGTGGGTTCTTTTCTCAAAATGGCGGGATGTGTCTTGCTTTCAGATCCTACGTGTTAGTTCAACTTAATGTTTTTCTTCTATTTAGTTATAAGAAGACCCAGGAAACCCTGTCCCAGGCTGGACAGAAGACTTCAGCAGCCCTTTCCAATGTAGGTTCTGTTATCAGCAGGACACTTGGTGTGACATGAGGTAAGATTTCTGTTTCGTGCTCTAGTGCTTTGGTTTAGGATTTAAAAAGTTTTGAGACTTTAGACAATAGCTAGGCTTTTTTCTTTTTTTTTTTCCTACTTGATTGGCAGTGCTTTGCTATTGATGGACTACCTTCTTCCATGTGGTCCTGTACATCAGACTTTAGGACACATGAACACTTGTAAACACCCCTCAAGGGAGAAAACCTCTTCCTGTCAGTCTGCTCTGAAAGTGTGTGTTCTAAGACTTGTGCTGATAGAGTAAAACCAGTTAGTTCTACCACATTTAGTCTAATTCAGCTCAGAAGAGCTGACAGGACACTCTTAGTTCCCTTCTCCTCTTATTATCATGTGGTTGCGCTGCAACTTTGAACACTTGTTTCTTAAATATAACGTAAAGTTGACCCTTTTCAGTTTTAAATTATGGTCTTGTTTTTTCTCAGTGTTAACGCTTAGGGTTAGAAAGGGGTCATCATTCCTATGCTCTGTTATATGCTTTAAACTGGGACGAAGTCTGGATGCTGTGTCTCACGCAGTTTCAAGTTCTGTGCGCTAGCTTTCCGTGGGGAAGGGCGGTGTGACTTCCAAGCACAGCTTCATAGTGTGTTTTGGAAGATATGAACTCAATCAGAAGATTATAATGACATAAACTTTCTTCTTGTGCTTGGTGGTTATCTAGCTTCCTTAAGCAGATGACAACTGCAGTATTTGCAAATGTAAACCTATCTAAAATGGAAAGTGGAGGGCTGGTTCCTTTGGCTGCTGCCTGAGGTTCTTGCTCTGCGAGTTTCTCCGGCATACAAAAGCGAAGGGTAGAGTTGGTGATTTACTTCATTCAGGAGTTTAAGCTAAAGACTGTTTCCACATTAATGATGGTGTTGAAGGCTTTCATGTGAAATACCTTGCCCACTTTTTTTTTTCCTGAGTGTACAAGCTGTCTAGATTATTAAGGAAGCATTCTTGGAGCTTGTATTTAACATAATGTATCAGATCTTGGATTGAACAGGCAGCTGTCATTCTTTGTAGGGACTTTCCCATTCCACTGTGGCTGGGAGTATCCAAGTGGTAAGAATTTGTTGGTCTCTGATCACATTGTACTGATATACTCTGAATCTAACCTCAGGGAGTGCAATTATTGGTGAATGTTTTTTTTGTAGCTCACTCCATGTGAAATTGGCAGAGGACTAGCTGGCTTCCTAGCCTTTCCAGTATTCAAATTTTACTTTTCTTTCCTGGAAATTACTTTGACTTCTGAAAGAAGAGACTTATATATAACCACTTGAGCTGCCAGCTGATAGACACCGGCAAGATGTGCCGTTGCTAAGCTGATAACGGTAAAGTAAATTTGGTGACTACCTTCTGCAGCTCGGTCAGGCTGTTGTAGCAAAGGCATGGGGACTGACTTTTTTGGACCAAATGGGGAACTCTTGAACCGATCTTGCCACCAGAAGAAGCCGTTTTGACAGTCTTGGTCCTGCCTGTCATCTTTGGCTGGTAGAATCCAGTTTGACATGCGGCTGCACAAATGCTTGTACTATTCCAGGAGCAGATGATGGGGGGGGGAGGAGGATGCATGGCCGAGTGAGGAGTGGAACTGTCGCTCCTGGTGACAGAGCTGGCCTAGCTGACTACATACAAACCGGACCTCTGCAGCAGTAGTATTGCTCAGCATAGTCGGTAACTTAAACACGCGTATTCCTTTTTACAGCTAATTCCTTGAGTGATAGGGTAGCAAATAGAGGCAGCTTCTGTCTTATTGATAACCTGGGGTTGTATCTACCAAAGTTATTTCAGCAGGATTTGCTTTGTGTATGTGGCCCTAAGGGGAACACAGTAATGGCTTTTAAGAAAGCTTTCAGTTTTTCTTTGGATATCCAGACTTACATATCCTCTGCTGTATTCAAATCTTGATGTTTCTGAATCTGAATGAAGTTTAACTTCTGAGCATAAACTTCCACAGGAACTGTTCTGTTTTCTCCTCTTGCCAAGGGAAACTGTAAATGGTGTTCTGACATGTGATCAGAGATTACAAGGAGTGAAATTGGTTTTATTGTTGTGATCGCTTCTCTGAACATATGGGGATGATCTCTTCTCGGAGAATCTCAGTTCTGGGCCTCATGGCCTACACTGTAATGTGTTGTTACTGTACTTTTTCCTCTTACACTACAAATTCACTTGTAAAGAAGGTTTATTTTCCAACACTGGAAGCGTTGAGATAACAGAAAGGATTTCCTTGTTTAGTCAGCTTTCACCGGTTGATAAATGCAAGGAAGGGATGATGAATAGGACAAACACCCCAGACATTCAGAGGGCATAATCATAATTCCATTAAAACCACCTCAACCAAAATGCTATGAAATAAAGTAACTCATCGTTGAGTTAAATCTCTAGTAGGGTGCTTTATTCTGGTCAAAACACTTTCAAATGCTATAGCTGCAGATTGTGAGATGAAGTTGTGGCATTTATGTGACTACTGTACTAAGCGTATTAATGCTGCTGCTCTACTATATTTTCTCCCCTCATGGCAATCTATCTTAATGGGTGGGTTTTCTCAGGCTTTGGCCAGTTCAGCCTTTTCTGTTATCTCCACTTACAGTTAAAGAAATAAATTGGCTTTTAGACCTTGTTACTGCATTTTACTGACTCCAGTAAACTGCCAAATGGAAATGTTTTCTTTTTGTCAGATAACGGCTTGCTTTGTGGTTTTTGTGCCCCCAATACCTTTCATGCTTGTCTGATGGGGTTTGCTACTGTATATAATACTACAAGTGAATTCATTATAAGATGTTAATCTGAGCCCCAAAGGTGGCTTCTGTGTCCTGAATTTATGTAAACTTTAAATTCTCATGGAAGGAAGAAAAGGGTAACTGTTAGGTCCAGATCAAGAATCTGAGCAAACTTACTGGTGCTTGTGGAATTATATACAGAGCAGCATGGTGCGTGGACATGTATGTTATCTATATTACTTTCCTTTAAGTGAGAGCAAGTAGAAAGTGAATTTCTGTTGCACGCAAAGGTAGCGTTACAAGGAGTCTGTCCAGCCAAAGAGCTGACTGGAATAGGTGGGGAAATGAAATCACAAAGCCTAACATCTTTGCTGTAGCTGTAAGGAAGGGCCCTTGTACTCCTTGCCAAGTACTTCACGTCGAACTTGCCATGACCGCTTCCTGCTGCGGGAACAAAAATGATATTTAAGTGGAATAAAACACAACACTTCTAAAGAGGCTTCTCTACTGGAACGTCTTGGCAGTCTTGTTAGTAGAAATAGAAAACCTTAGTCTGTTATTCAGGACTACTGAGATGCTACTGTAGTGTAAAATTGGGCATGGAAATCTGGTAGTTTCCAGGGTGTAGTTTGCCTTGAAACCTAAAAATGGGCGTTCTGCACTTGGGTTGTGGGGTAAGCATCGTGCCTTCTATCCAGTTGCTCTTATCTTTATTATGCTGAGAGCTGTTTGTTTTGTTTTTTTCCTCAAATGTAACTTTAAGATCCGCAGGCTTGGCGAGGTAACATGCAAGCATCCATTTGGCTCCTGTTGCAGAGGCTCTCAACCAGCAGTCCTAACAGTACTGTGTTTAAACGAGAGCTCATGGGGTTTCTGAAAGGGTGGGGGGAGGTGGACAAGATAGCTTTTGGCAAATTAGCCAACTGAGGTAAGGAAAACATGCTCTAAAACTTCAAGTTAAAGCAATGGGTCTGGATGAGTAAGATTCCTCCCCTTCCCCCTTCCCCCCCTAATTCAGCACCCTTGTTCTAACTTGCTATAGATTCTGTTTTTATCCTCTGAAAAACCTCTTAGCTTGGGTTATTGGAGCTAATGCAAAGCAATTTTTTTGTCCCTCTAATTAATCTTGAGAGGGTTCTTCCTGGGTAGTAGACTTTGCTGTCCCATGACTATGTGCTTGCTTAGCTGCCCTGCGTTTAATGTTTAGATCCGCACAAGCGTCTGACTCTTGCTTCCCTTTTCTCCCTCTGCTGTCGTGGGTTTCCTCAGGGCTCACCCCTTCTCGCATTCCTTTAGGTAAGATACTCTTCAAGGCTGCTAAAAGAGCATATGTTACTTTGCCAGGCCCTTTGCAGACGTTAAAGAGGAGGCTGATTATGTAAGGCTTGCCAATGCTTCTGGAATGGAATGAGAAACCTAGCTAAAACCATCCCCTGTAGCTGACTTTTATATGAAGGCCGCAATTGGCGGTGCAGATTGAGCGTACAACACAGATGCAACTATAAGACCCCTAGCTTTCGTAATTCTAATGTGATGGGACCGTGAGCAATTTACAACAACTTGCCAATTTGAAAGTTTATGTTTCAGCATACCTTTTGTTAGCACTTGCTGCATGCTTTTACATCTTCCTGTCAGCCCAAATTTTGGGAAAGAAACCTTTGGGCAAAAAACCTTTTCTAGTAAAAGTTGATTATGGGAGTAACTTGATACAGTAAAGCCAGTCATGCACGTTTTTTTTGTCTCCTAGAGGTACCTCTGCATCCCTCAGATCTTTGATCATAGGCCAGATCTCTTGTGCCTTGAGCACAGTTAAAAAGCCCCTTTCTAAATATTGTTTTGTGGAAATTTGCTTCCTTGTACTGACATAAGCAAATCTATCCACCAAACTTTAGGAAGGCTTTTAAATGGCACCCTGTGTTCATATTCTGCTTGTTCCGCTTTTCAGTTAAACGCTCCTGCCAACAGTCCTATGACTGCAGATCTAGTTCTGGGCTGCAGGCTTTGAAAATAGAGAAGAGAGGGCTAGCTTTTATTGCTTCAGTTGCCACACACAGGCTGCTGTGGACAGCAAGTGCTTGGAAGCAGGGGTATACTGCTTTTATACAATGTCTGTTTAAAATTGTTTTACCTTTTTCCTCCTTGTTCTAAATGCTTCCAAGTAGCAGTTACTCCATTCGCCACTCGATAAGTATGCCAACAATGAGGTAACGTAGCAAATGCCTGTGTTTCCTGAGTGGGGCAGGTGGGGTGTATAGCTGACTGTCCCCTTTGGGGGATTTTGGGTTCTAATTTGTGTAATTGGTTCACTTCAGCTGACATCACTTGGATTATGGGGTAACCGTGTCCTGCAGCTTGAGTAATTCAAGGCTTTAAATTGTTACTCAATCTATTTTTATGGTTATTAGCACCTGTGTTGTTCTTGGACTAAGTGTGCTGTTGCAACTGTCATAGCTTTGAGAGGTCCCTGAAGAACTAGTTTCTTCTCTACTTAGGCACTGATTCCCTAGTGAATTAGGATTTTTTTTTTCCCCCCTGAATTCTCAGCTGGAGCAGTGCAATTGGAGTGCACAGAACCCTGTGGTATAAATGTCTGTCTTCAGAGTTTGTATGCAGTGTTCGTGCCTGGTGTGCATGAGAGATTTATACCACAAGGTAGCTGAATGAGTAGCTGGAGGTGTTCTGGGTGCTACTGTTCTTGCACAGGAAAGACCAGAGTGCCTGGTCACAGCACGTGGCATATTTTAGTTAAGAACTAACTTGTCATTTGTTTTGTTTTTTTTCCTTCAAGGAATTCTGCAACCTTCAAGTCATTTGAAGATCGAGTTGGGACCATAAAGGTAACTGCCTGCTCTGTCTCATAAGCAGTGTGAAATCTTAAGCAGAAACTTTAGTTTCTGCTTATTTTTCTTGTAGGCTAATATTTAGGCAAAAGACCTCTTGGATATGTGAAGTGTCTGCTACAGTAGGTGCCCTTGAAAAAGGGGAATTGACTTGGTATTCACAGTACTGGTTTCTTGTTATCCTAACTCTCTTCTCTTTTCAGTCCAGAGTGGTGGGCAGCAGGGAAAATAGTACTGATGGCCTCCATTCCCCGCTGGGAGCTGGAGACAAGCCTCCACAAGACAATGCTCCTTTCTAGACCTGCTATGTGGCTTTGCACGGCTGTGCACAACTGCAAGAGCAAGCCCCCTTCCTCCCGAATCTTCACAACAGCAACAACGTGCGAGTCCAAGAAGGGGCTGAAAACCAATCTGGAGAGATCCATAATCCATTCATAGACACTGCTACTGGATCCAAGTCAAATAAAGAGAATGCAGAGTTTTGTACACAAATATTTTACACTAAAGTTTGTAGATGAAATGTATCACTGTGCTGTCCTTTTGGGAAAGCACTTAAAATGGAGTTTCCTCAAGGTAGCTCAGAAATGCCATTGGTATAGAAAACTTTTTTCCTTGGTCATCATAACTTTGAGCAGGAAAAAATCGCTGTGAGCAGGGAAAGGAGGAGAACAGTTAAAGGAGAAGTCAAGTGTGTGATCTTAGGATCTTAGCCTCAGCTTCTGGCTACGTTCTGTTCAGAGCACACCATGAGTTACTCTATCTCCCAGGCTTCTCCCATTACTGTTTCCTCCCGCTCTCAGCGGAGTAGTCTGGTTAATGGGGTAAACAATTACTTTGTTTCTGGGCTCCCCGGAGGGAAACTTCACTTAGCAGCTGCCTCGTTGTTACACTAATGCTCTAGCTTTAACAAAACTAAAATCTTTATTTTTAAATGCAATGAACTTCAAGAAAAAAAGCTTAAAAAAAAAAAAAGCTTTGGCATCATATAGGGAAATGTTCCCCTGGACTCTGAAATGCAAGCCTTACATCACTTTACGCTTTACTTGTTTATTATTTTCTCTATAGAGAGGACTATGGGGGGTTATAAAGCTGGATATTGAGCACTGGAGTTTTGCATCATACAGTAGTAGCAGCATGCTTATAAGCCAGTTCTTGTGTTAATTTTTAGTGGTGCACTCTGTTGCTTGAGTGTATGAAACTTGCTTCTCCCTTCTCAGTTTATGCCTTCATTTTTGGAGGAAGAATTTCTGAAGGCTGCTAGCAAGAGGCCCAGAATAGGGAAGGACAAAGCTGTCTCTAGCAATATGGACACTGTATTGGAGGGACTGTGCTCCGTGGGACACTCCATCTGGTACATCTGACTGTGACTGCATGTTCTCTCAGCTGAGAGCCCCAGCTATAATCTTGGCTTACAAAAATGGTGGAGAGTCACAGAGCTCAAACGGTTCCCAGAGTGGCTGGATGTTTTGTTTTTCTGATGTCCAACTTCATTGCTCAGGAGCTCTAAAACTAAGTTTTCCTATAGAGGCCTGATCTTATTCTAGGCAAGGTGCCTCCACGTCAAAAATTCCTAGAGTGAGCAATTCTGTGCCTTAGAGGCGAAGTGGGACTTACTCAGGTCTTTAGACTTGTTTATGTACATATCTGAGTAGTTTTAGTGGTTATCACCCTCGAGGGACTGAACCTTCTCTAACCCTTCTCTAGAGAAGCGAGTTTTGACGCTCGTGTCTTCTGACTAACCTCAATTTCCCTCACCCCCTGCTTCCCTCCCTCTTCAGATCTGGGGGCATGCTATGAAATCCTAGAAGGCAGGTGTACTAGGCAGTAGGTGGAGTGTAGAGTGTCATTTATGGGATTTCCTTGTTTGTGACTAAAACCAGCCTCCATGTGAGGAACAGTGTCAGTGAAATGGGTACTGCTGGAGCTTAGGTATTGAACTGTTTCTCTTTACAGATAAATATAGAGGAAACATATCAATAAAGCATTCCTTTGGGAGAAAATGGGTTGGATGTTTTTGTCCTGTTCTATTTAAGAGCACTGAATTCTGTTCTTAGCTATGCGTTACCAATGCATCGGGCAAATTCCAGCTACCTGCAGTAACCTGAGATAGGAAGTGCCCCCTCTCTGACTTGTTGGTCTATGGGATCTCTGGAAGCTTTTTCATGAAGTGATGTATTCAGTGGTATTTCCTGTTTGAGTTACTAAACACTGGGCAATTCCTGGCACGTACCTAAACTCAACTAAAGGAGGAGCATTGCAGCCCCACGCGTTTCCTCTAGGCGATGCCACAATTTTCCCTTCAGCACGTTAGCCAGACGTGCCTTGAACTTCCTCACCTCGTTCTTGTGAATGTATAGTGTGGGACTGTGGTCGTAGCGGTAACCTTGGCAGTTGGAGCTGAGCCTTGAGAAACTTTTAATGTGGAGAAGGAGCGTCTGTGATGCTGGCTCAGATTTACAGCGTGGTACCCCAGGGGATCAGCTGCTTGGAAGCTGTGTGGCAGTCACTACTGATTTAAACAGCCCTGTAAAGGGGAAGTGGTGAATGTATGACTTGAGCTAGAATCTGCTCCCTTAAATTTAAAAGGGCAGTGGAGAATAGGCAAACCCAGTTTAAGAGAGGACAAGAGAGCACCAAAACTGCTTGTTATCCTGTACTTTCAGAGGAAGGTTGGCTGGCTAAATTAGATGCATCTGCTTGGTGACGAGGATTTTTTTTTGTTTTGTTTTTGTGTTTTTTTTGTTTGGGTGGGTGGTTTTGTTTTCTTTTTTGCGACCTGACCTCCGTGAGTAAAACTGCAGCGCTCTGCAAGTGGTTTAAGAGCAGAGGATTCAATATAACAGCTGATCCTGGAGCCTTTTGTGGAGGAGAGATCCTAGAGCAGGTAGCGAGGCAGGGAGACCCCAGGCTGCGGAGCTGTGCCTGGGAGCTCCCCGGGGAGAGCCCGAAGGGCTGGAGACGTGCTCTTCCTTCTCCTTAGTCTCTTCTATCAAGGGATCCTGTGTTTTGAAGGAAGATTAATGAAGCATGAAGGTAAACACCTTCCTGGTTACAGGCTTGACAGCATCGTTGCCTGTTCCTGGTATCTAAGCGTGCTCCTCGGGTGCCAGCTCTTGCACGTGAAAGCACCAGTTTGCCGTTTGGGCCGAGCCCTGACTGCAGTGTGTTGTGAATGGGCACAAGCTGGGTTGGGGCAATGCGACTTCCTTCCCTGTGAAAACCCAGGGTCAGAAGTGTATGCAGCCACCTTGGCAGCCTCTTGCACACACAGTTGCTCTGTTTTAACTGAGGGAAATGGTTTGACAGCAATATTCCACTTCTGTCCGTGCTCTGACAGCAGCCTTGGTGGGCTATGGTTGTTTAGCGGGGTCTCTGTGGGGTCCTGGTGTCCCAGGGCAACTCTTCTGCTTTCTCGGAGCCTGTTTGGTCTGGAGACCAGCTCCATGCGTTTTTGGAGCTACTGTTCTCCCCTTTCTCTTTTTTCCTGTTGCTTCACTTAAATGAAACAACGCAGTAATAAACGTACAGTAACAAGGTCAGCCACGCAACCCATTGCAGCATTTGGAGCTGCCTTAGCAAGCAGCAACAGTGCCTGCAACCAAAGCAATCTCCTCTTTCCTGTTTCTCTGGTTTTACCGTGATTCTCTTTTTTTCCTTCCTTATTGCTGGGAGCTCACCGTGTTTCAGCTGACCGCCGTTGTGGTTTGGGAGGGGTCTGCGTGGGGCTGACACTACTGGAGCGGGTGAGTTGCAGCTGGCGCTGAGGTTTTTCCCTGCAGCTGTGTTGCGCGGCGAGGAGATGCCTCCAGCAAAACTGGCCTCCTCCTCGGAGGATGCAGGTCTCTCGCCACACTGTCTGCTGCTGCCATCGTCTCTGCCCGGCTCTGTGGTGCAAAGCCCAGGAGCCAAGTGATGCAGAGGGACCGTCCCTAGCGCAAGGTCTTTGTGCACGAGCGTTGGGTCCCTGCTGGCTGCCTCCGTTCCCGTGGCAGAGAGCAGGGTTGGTGGGGGGATGTTTAGATCCGATAGTGGCCAAGTGCTCAGCAAACAGGAGGGAGCTGAGATTCATGGGGAAGGGAAAGCAGCAGCACTTCCAAGGCAGCCTGATGCTGGGTCTTGACCCTGTTTTGGCGAGTGCTGACACATGAAGGGGACTCAGCGGTCCCAGCCCTCCCTGACAGCAAAGCACCCAGGGCCGGGCTCGGCCTCCGGCTCACCTGGGCCGAAATGGGAAGTTCCTGCGGGATTCATGACATTTGTCTCCTGCCTTGGAGGAAGAGACAGGGGCAGAAGACCTTGTGCAAGTAGGTTCAAGCGAAGTGCAGATGACTCGGTCCTGTGTCGCTGGGAGTTTCTTAAACCTGCAAGTGTAAATTCACGCGTGGTGGCTGGGCAGTGCAGTGTCCTGCGCCCCTGCTCTCAGTCTGCACCGTTAACTGCCTGGCTTGGGAAGGAGAGTTATGAAAAAGTCTCATGTGGGGCACCAAAGTCACCTGTGACGTCGGAGAGAAACTTCCCTTACGCTAAAGGAGACGGCGAGCGGCCGCGCGAGGCAAACGCGATAGGCAGCGTTGAAGGGTCAGAGGAAGCCAGGTTGCTCCATCCCACAAAGCAAGAACAAGCAGCTAAGTGGCAAAATTAAAAAGCAACTGATTGCAGAGAGATAAAAGGAAGGGTTTTTTCCTTGCTAGAATGAGATTCCTACATTTTTTTTTAAGGGATTTGATGTTTATGCTTGTAACAGGAGTTGCACAACTGCTCCAGGGGCTGGGAGCCCGCGGGTCCTGCCGGACGGTGCGATGGGGACGGCAGCCGGAGCCCTCTGCCCTCCCGGGAAACCAGCCCTGTCCTCCGGCTACGACGACAACCGGCTCGCCGCTGGGGTCTCTGCCGGGGCGAGCCCGGCATCTCATC